TTCTGTTCCTCTGTCGTGGAGTGAGATGGGATAGTCTGGGAGTCATCTCACACTTGTTCAGTACTCTGTGCTCCAGAGCCCTATGGCATAGATAGGCTCTCCTTTAACTGTCACCCCAACAAAGCTGTGAAGCATCCCTGTATTTCTCTGCATGTCTCTGAGAAGGGACACTGAGCCTGCCATCTACATGGGCCCATTATACCACCTCTGCTTTCTGGACCCAAGCTGTATAATGTAGGTCTGGCACAAAATCCCGTGTTTATAGACTTCCTACACTGTCCTGGGCCTGATTGGCCACCAAAGTGCTGGATGAGGTTGTGACACTAGGGCTAAGAGGGACATGCACACCTTCTCCCTCCCTGCCAGCCCAGTGCATTGCTCAGTGTGCACAGGGAGGTTTGGGAGAGCTCTGAGCCTGTGGCAGGAGGTTGTGTTACCTCTCCTCCCACCACAACACCCACCCTTTGGATGCAGTAGGTGCAGCAGTGCTACCTGTGAACACTCTGGCAACAGAGGGGTCCTGTGTGCCCCACTCCTGTATATCTCAGGTATGTTAGCCAGTGCCACCACCCCATGTGCATGTCTGTGCATCCTGTGCCATCCCCTGGGCCAGCCAGTATCTTGACAACGCACATCTCCACTGTCCTTCCATTGTGCTGGCTCTGTTCTCCTTTTGGCAGTAGAAATTCCTCAGGCCAGCTGCCCAAATCCTCTACAGCTCCTGGATGGGCTCGTGTCACTCAGCCTCACTTGTAAACCCATCAGTGGAAGTTTTGTTCTCCATTCCCAAAGAAAGGAGCAGAGTTCATTGGCTGGTTAGAGTGAGTGATGTGGGGAAACGCACTGAGCGGGATTACTCCTGTGCCCAGTTTCACTTGCCCTGTCAAGCAAAGGCTCAAAGCACAGGTGTGTTCTGAAACTTGGTCATTCTCTAGGGATGAAAGCTAATTTTTAGCTCTAAGGAATAGGTCAGGACATTCTACAAATATCCTGGGTTTTCCTGGAATATTTCATACACCAGATTGCAAATGCATTACCATTCTCCTCCACACCAAAACCAGGCACACTGGTAGGAGCTTTCTGGTTCTGTTTCAGACAGAGGACAAATCAAGAGTCCTTTCATTCAGCCAAATAACAGTGACTATGATGCAAGTAGCCTAACTGGGGAGTCTCACTCATCAGGGAAATGCAGTGAGTGGGATTACTCCTGTGCCTGAAATTACACTCACTCTGGCAAGCAAAGACTCAAAGAGCGGGTGCAGCTTGAAACAGGTAAATTTTTGTGCCTTGTTGACTTGGGGCTGTGAAAGAGAAATGCCATGGGGCTGGGCTGCGTGGTCTGACATGCCACTCATGGCTGCATGGCCCCCCTCCCCTGCCCACTGGCACATCACGGCCATATTTCTAAGCACCAGCTTGGAAACCTGTTTCCTCACCTTGACTCCGTCATAGGTAGGACTGCCCTGCAAACAGACACAGCTGAGCTGTGGGGCAGCAATTAAAACCTCTATGCTGGAACTGAGGGGCTTGGAGCAGTCAGGGACAGGGTAAACCTCCCCTGTTGGAAGGGGAGCCTGCACCCACAGGGGTCCCCTCTCCCCTCCTCCGTGTCTTCCTCTGCATGCTGTCCTGCCTGTTTTTGCTTACACTCTGCCCACAACTCAGTATAGAAACTGAGCAAAAGAAGACAACAAACAGGCAGGGGATGGACTAGAGAGAAACTAATTATTCATCTCCTCTGGCTTGTGTTTTGCATTGTTTACTGATGCATTCGGCATTAGGCCAGGTGTTTTCCATGGCTATAAAAGACTTTATGGCCAATAGTATCAAGCCTTCCCCAGTGGAATAAAAGCGTGTGACAAACTGTGTGGCTGACGCTTTATTTTCCTGTTGTTCCCCCCTGGAGCTGCCTCCTTCCAGCTCTGGACAGGCAGCAAGGACCAGTCCACAGTGAGGTTTCCTTTACAGTAGAGTAGGTCTTCATCTGCCTGGTTCCTGTGCCAGCTACAGCAGAGCTGTCTGGGAACAATTAAGCCAAAAGCAAATGCTGCCTGAAAACTGAGACTGTTTCTCCTCTCTGGGATCTGTATAGGCAGAGAGACCTCAGGGGAGAGGGAAATAGTCACAGATACTAAATTAAAATGCATAAAGCACCAGAGAAGATACTTAGTGCTGGAAATACTACACAATATCAGGTTGGTCTTTTCTAACTTTTCTGTCTCTTTGCCCTTAAAGAAGCAGAGAACTCAAACTGCCCTGAGCCCTGCTTTCCACCAGCATTCCCCACGGCTTGCTGTGGGTCACTGGACAGTGATTTCCCTTTCACTTCCCTCAGTCCTGGCCACCTGAAGGTAGGCAAGCATCTCCCCTGACATGCTGTGGGTGCTATGGGTGCCCGTCTCTCCTTTTCTTTGCTCCCACTTGCCCACCAAACCATGTTAGTTCTCATTCTATCCCACCAAAACACCTTTCTCCTTTCCTCCTTGTGTTGCCCTTCAATGTCTTTTATAGTAAGGAAAGTGTAGAGTAGCAAGCTGATCCCTGCAATAGGTGTTCTCTTGACCATGAAAATGCCCCAAAACTGGCAAAATTAAGAAACAATCAGAATAATGAAGAAGCAAAAGAAAATCGGAATAAGGGAAAGAAGCATCAACTTGGATGAACACCCAGCAAACGACCACTGAACTTTCACAGTGGGATATAAATTGTTGCACTGGAATATGCCATTTGAGGGGGAATAAAATAGAGAGGAAGAGAAAACATTTCAAATATTCAGAAATTTTAATTAATTTTTTTTTAAATAATACCCACTGTCCTTGGGAGCAGGCAGCACAGGGCTGACATGGCAGGTATGCACTGATAGTCCACCTCCCCCCATGGGACCAGGGCAGGGGGTCGTGGTGCAGGGCTGCCCAGGGTGTGGGGCTGTTGGTGGCGGAGGTCAGGAAGGTGCTGGGATAGGGGCAGGAGCAGCCACGGAACCCAGCGTGGGAGTGTGCCATGCAGGCCACAAGGGCCCCATTGTCGCAGCTGGAGGCGGGCTGGCTGGCTGGACAGGGCTGGAGGTGGGGGCTCAAGCATGTGGATGACGGCAGCTCTGGGGAGGTCTGCACCCCGAGACACCACATCTCTGGCAGCAGGGAAGGCCTGGGCCCCCCAGCCTGGTCTGGCACTACCAGCTCCCCGCTCTCACACCTCTGCTTGCAGCCTGCTGCTGACCGCCATGGAGGAGGACATCGCCCTTCATCGCAGCTGCCTGCCCGCCCCAGGCAGCCCCACCAGCCCCAGCCGCATCCTAGGTTCTCCATGGCAGCGGGACAGCCCCCTTGGTGCCACTGCCTCCACGAAGCGGAGCTGCCTTTCTGTCACCCTGTGCCGGGCTGGTGGGGGTGGCGGGGGGCCCCCATGGGAGCGGCTGCGAGGCTTTGCCCCTGTCACCCCCATCGCCCCTCGCCCCCGGCCCACAGCGGCCAAGGGGCCCCAGCAACATGGCAGCTCTGGAGGGGCCGAGGCCACCCTGCTGGCGAAGACAGGGGTGTCATGTGCCCCACCATGCTCAGGTGGGTCTCCGCTGATGGGATGGGCTGGGCATGGGGGAGGGAGGCACCAAGGGGCCCCTTGGCATGGAGCCCAGCATGAGGCAGGACCCCTAGGAGAGGTGGGATGATGTGGGGGAGGATGGGGGCTTCCTTCCCTGGGAGTGATTTCCCCTTGACCCACAGTGGGAATATGAGTGGGCAAGGGCAGGTGGGAGGAGCACCCGTGAGTTTGTTAGCCTGGCACCCAGCAGGGAAACAGGCAGCTGTGGTCGCCATGTCAGGAGATGTGAGTGCCAAGATGCCTGTCTGTCTGTCCGTCTGTCTGGAGGCAGCCAGCCTGTCAATGGCTCAGCCTAGCCTGGGTAACTGCTGGTGGTGGTTTCTAAATGTTCTAAATGTTCCAATAATCTGCAGCATGTGCAGTTTCCTTTTTGCCCCCGAGCGCTGCAAAAATAGGCCCTCCAAACCCTTGCTGAGTCTGCCAGGCATCCAACAGCCTGGCCTCCACCCAGGGAGCTGCCTCATAATGGAGGGACACATGGGGAGAGCCCTGAAAGGGTGCTGCTGTCATCTCACCGAGTGGAGGATCAGAGTATTCCCAGATGTTGGTGCCCTAGCCCAGCATGGCGGGGCCATGGTGCCTGGTGGGGCCAGGGCTCACAAATGCAGGAGAAGGAAATGCAGAGAGGGGGAAGGGCATCCCCATCCAAAGGCGCAAGCAGCCAGAGGCATCTGCACAGCTCTCCAGGCACAGGCACATCCACTGGGCAGGTGGGCATTGCCAGGCACATATGCCTGCCAGGGCACATGGGGATGTGACCTGTGTCCTCCAACGTGGCCCAAGGGGGATGACCTCTCCCTGCTCTCCGCCCGCAGGCACACACATGCACACCCGCATGCACACATGCATGTACACACACGTGCACAGAGGGGCCAGTGCCGGCTCTGCCTCTGTGCCATGGGCTGGCAGCCAGGAATCACGGTGCCGGAGTAGAAAAGGTTTCTCACACCTCCACAAGCAGAGCTGAAGGGCAAATCACATTTGATGAATCAAAACATTCCTAATTTCCTCCCTCCAGGAAAGCAAAAGGAGACCTTGCAATCCTCTGAACCCAAAAACTACCTAGGGACAAAGAGTGTCCTTTCTCGGTCCTGCTGGAGCTAAGCTGTGAAGGGTTAAATATGCCCCTCCCTAAACAAGCAGAGATGCTGCAAACGCTGAGGAATTGGGAGGGAAAGGGGCAAGAAGAGGCCTGTGTGGGGTGGGTGTGCAAGGGGGGGGCCCTCTGGGACATATAGGGGGGCCATCGGCAGTGGCCCCTCGAACCCCGCGGCCATGCTCCTCCCCAGGGCAGGGAGGACGGCAGGGGCCTGGGATGGGTTCGGGGGGCCTGGGATGGAGCCAGGGGAGGGTGCGCGGGGGGGAGATTTTGCGGAGATGTTTAATATTCAGGTCACATGACGATGGCAGCAGGAGCAGCACCAGCATCCCCGCTCTGCTGAAATAGCCACTGGAGAAGGAAGGGAAGGAAAGTGGGGGAGAACAGGACACAGGGAAGAAAGAGAAAGGTAAAAGCAAGCAGAGCCTTGTAGCCCACCGTACTACTTCATCAGCATCAGGCTAGAAAAGTGGGGGGAGATCCACCCCCTTGCGAGAGGATTCGGAGACAAAGGAAGCTTCATGTTCAAAGGTAGGATGCTCCGGGCTTGGCAGAGCTGGGCAGCGCCGGAGGGATGCCGCTGGGGCTTTTTGTGCAGGCATCCTACGCCATGCCCCCTCGTTTCCCAGCTCTGGGCACGGGGGAGGGATAACCCCGAAGGGCAGCAGGGAAAATCGGTCCCGGCTTTGACTTTCCTCTGTCTTTTTCCTTTTGGTGGCAGCAGTCTCGTATGAAGGAGAAGGAGCAGGGCTGGTTGTGGTGCTGATGGGGAGTAACTGGCGCCAGGCACTGCTCTGAAAGAAACAGATAATCCCAGTTGGTCCAGGGCTGGGGAAAGCCCACAAGCTGCTCAGCTCCTGGCTTGTCCCTTGCCAGTGACAGGCATTCGCTGCGGGGGCAGCGGGGGTGTCCTGTGCTGCTCCCTGGGCATCTGCGCAGGAGCCGGCAGGCATGAAGGCAGGGGGAGAGGCAGCTGCGGTGGTGTGGGTACCCTGGTCCAGGGGTGCTCAGCATCCTCTCGCCTGTGCCGCCCAGGTGTGAGCTGGGCCATGGGGTAAGGATTGCAGGGCTGGAGAGCGGCACTGAGGGCTGCTCGTTGGGGCTGGGGCTGAGGCGGCTGGGCTGGGGATGTGGCCAGTCCCTTCCCCTCCAGCTTCTGCATCTCCAGAGAGGCTTCGGCACACACTGCCCTAGATTTCACTGCAGCTAGGCTCCTGCCCAAGCCCTTTGCAGAGTGCTGAGGGTAAGAAAGGTTGCTGCCGGGAAGGCTGTGGCAGCCCAGAGGGTTGATCTTCAAGCCAGGCAAAAAGACCTGTAAGAAGAATGACTCTGTTCTATACCTGGAGGTCAGGCAGTGCATCCGGCCATCACGGCTCAGCCGCTGCCCTGCACAGCTGAAAGAAGTGCCCTGGGGTCATCATGGAAACTGAAGGGGAAAGATATTTTTCCAGTGGAGAGATGCTCAGTCCAGAACCTCTGCAAACCTGAAGGAAGGAGCAGGTCCTGATCCCTGTCAGCTCCAGGGAGGCTGTGCTACTCAAACAGCTGCTTGCTTTCCTTTGTAAGGACCTGGTATCATCACCAGTTGAGGGCCTGCTCCTGCCAGACTTCAGGTTCTGAACCCGTCCCTCCTCCCTGTTCCATGTCTGCAGGCAGTGGAACTGTGGGTCCAGAGCCACATGGGTGGAAGGGGCTGGGGTGAGATGAGTGTGTGGATCATCGCTTCCAGCGGGAGCGAGACAACCTTGTGCTGCATGGGAGGAGAGCTGCTGCGAGGCCATCCATGTGTTATGTGGGGGTTAAATAGCTTTTCTTTGCTGGAAGCTGGCTTGTGGTGAGCACTGTTTGCAGTTCTCCCTCCCTCTTGCCACTCAGACAAAGGATGGAAAGGCAGGGGGAGGGGATGCGACTGTATCTGGGTTATCAGAACATAATAGATGTTAGTCCCCACTACCTGAGCCCCTAAGGGACCTGTAGGGCCACCTCTGCCCCCAGACAGCTGCTGAGAACCTCAGAGGTAGACATGAAGGGTGAGCTGCAGTAGTGGTGTCTGCTGCCGGCCACATATGCTGGCCTTCCAGGGAGAGGTTTTGGGGTGGATCATGGGTGTCAGAAGCAGGAGGTAGCTGAGACTGTGGGAACCTCTCTGGGCAATTGGTGTGCTTCTGGTCCTGCCTGTCCTGGCCCCAGATGCTGCACTGCACCTCTCCTTGCTCCAGAGCTGAGTGGAGCATCTCCTGTGAGCCAGATAATATTCCCTGACAGTCCAGCCCAGCCCAGGCCATTCCCTACGGGATCTGGGCAGCAGGGGTATTGCCAGCAACCACCCTCTTAAATGAGCTTCTGTTAGCATGTAGAACAAAGCAGCAAAGAAAAAAGGGGCCCTGCGAGCAGCGGATGTAAGTGGTTAACCTTGGCTACCCCTCTGTTCATTGTCAGCTGTACTGGCTGTAGTGCCCTATCATGTATTCATTACAGGGAACAGCTGGAAGGGCTATGGGATGTGCCCAGGACACATGATGCCACCCCTTGAGCAGCCACTCAGAGCACTCAGGAGGCTTCCTAGCAGTATTAGCTTTAATGCATATAAAACAGCCACTCCCAGGAGAGCAGGAAGGCACATTGCTTGTCTCAGGGTGCCTCTTATGGCTCTGGTCCCTGTTTTGCACACCCTGACCTCTCTAGCAGGTTGTTCCTCAGTTGGCTCCTTGGATTCATCTGTGGGAATCAAGAGGTGGAAAATCATGTGCAGAAAGCTGAACCCCTAGGTAATGTCTGCAAAATGGGGGCTTCCCTGACTGAGGCTGAATGGGAAGGCACCCCACACAGAGAGGAAGGCAAGTGACTGAGAGGATAAAGGGAGGTTGCTTACCCTGCCACCTTGGATGTCCAGATATAAAATCCAGGAAATATATTTAAGGAGACTTCTGAAGATCTTTTCTCCTCATCTCAGGGTTTTCTATAGCTGCTCAGGAACCTGACTCTGAAATATCTGGCTCCAGCTGCAAAAGGATGGCCACATATCGTGATGTCCACAGCAGTCAGCAACATCTGCTGGCTCTGGGCAAAGCTTCCCTTGGTGAGATTGAGGGATGAGTTATGAACCTCTTAGTGAGCCTTGAGGCTGCCAGCAACTTCCCTCCTTCCTCATCCTTCCTGTGCAAGAATGAAGGTGGAAGGAATAAAGGAGAGGGCAACAGATTCCCTGAGGACAAGCTACTACCCAGGAAGCAAAGGGGTCACAGCCCACATGGCCCAGGTCCTCACCCATCCCATGCAGCTGGTCATCTGGGCTTTCTTCTCACCTTGACCTGTTCCTATACCTCTCCAGGGTTTATTTGGCCCCACTTATTGCAGTAGCCAAGTGCCTCACTGGGGCCACAGCCCCTTGTCCCACATGCTCTCATCATTACCTGTCTCTCTCTTGTCCCTCTCTTCGGGATAGGTGGGAACCCAGCAGGGCTGTATGGGGTGTGTGCTGGCGGATGCGGCAGCAGGATGAGGGACATGGCACAGCCATTAGACCATGATACAGGTGGTGTGGGGCAGCCTGGGAGAGAATGAGTGAAGGGCAGTGTGCAGGAGAGCTGGCTGGCCTGGCCCCCTGTGCTGTATGAAAAATCTGGGCTTTCCTGGCTGGCACCAGCTTTGATAAAGCTGGAAAAAGACAACAGGAGCCTCAGGGAGTGCTTCATCAGCAAGAAAGGCACAGACTAGTTGTGATGGGTGTAAGAGAGGATTGCAGCTGAGAAGTGCTCGGCTCGGCAGGCTGCCTCCTCCAGCAGCTGCCCGGCAGTGTGAGGTGCTCCAAATTGCCAGCCTGGTTCAAGCCAACGATCCATCTTGTGCTCTGGTCCCCCCAGGGTGCTGCTCACTGCTTCAGGAGAGGATGATGATAGCTCAGGGTGCCTTTGCTCAGTGGGGAAGAGCAGTGGGGGGGCCATCCTCCTGCCGACCTTTTCTGTATGGGCAAGGTGGAACAGAGCTGGTACAAGAGCCTTCAGATGTTACCCACAGTGCTGTGCAGGAGTGGCTGTGCTACCATCCTCTCACATAGAGGAAAGATCCCTTCTCCCAGTTTAAAATCAAAGACTTCCGAAGCAGTGTAGAAGGAGCTGGGTGGAGGCACCCTTCTCCCTGACAAGGGTGACCCTTCCACAAGGTCTTTCCTTAGCACATGATAGTAGGATATTACAGCTTATATAAAATGTAAGATCTTCACCATGTAGAGCAGCCCTGTGTCTGCACAGAAGCTCTGATGTGGGAATGCCAGGCAGGGTCCCCAGCTAGCCATGGAGCCTGCTGCAGCTTAACCCGTCCTTGAACAAAATCTCTCTGACCTCTCCCCACCCTGCCTCTGCCTGGCCTGGCTGAGCTGTCACAGGGACTGTGGATTGGTGCCCTCAGTGTTCAGAGCCTGATGATCTCTGAGTCATGTTCCTCACCAAGAGGGGCATGTGTCACGCACCAAATGGCAGTCGCCTGCCTGGCTGCTCATGTCCTTCTCTGCAGCCAGTGGATTCTGCTGAAAGGAGAAAAAAACTCTGCTGAAATGATAGAAAGGGATAATTTAGTGTGAGATACTTCAACTGAAGTGGCATCCAAAACAAACAGAGTACTTACCAAGCAAAAACACACACTGTCTCTGTCCTAGAAAAATAACCACTTAATGAGACAAAGTGTGGGGGAGTCAAGTAATTAGAGTGGGAGAGGCTCTAGTTTGCAGATGGATTGTATATGCAAGGTATTTGATTCCCATCCCCTTCATCCTCCTTTCTAGATTCATCCCTCATGCCTCCCTTCCTTAACAATTACAGCTTTTCTTCAATGCCCGGTCCTCTCCCAACCTCTGGCTTCCTCCCAGTGGCATGGAGCTGCTCACTAATGAGACAAGAGATGGAGATAAATGGGCAAGGCCTGCCCTAAGCAATGTGTGCTATCACCCGAAAAAGAGTCAGAGAGGCTAGAACGCCCTCAGGGCCTTTCTTTTTGCCTGTTCGTTTTACATGGAAGAAGTGAGGAGGGAGAGGTGAGGAAGGAAAGATGCAGATAATAATTTTTTTGATCATGATTAGTTTCTTGAACATGACAAAAAACACTGGTTTGTGGATGGGAGGCAAGCACAGAAATTATAGCCATGCTTTCACTTCCACCACTGCCTTCCTCTGAGGAACTCAGCCTGCACAGCACCAGCATGGCCAGTAATGCAGCTGCCCCTGGCAAGGGCCAAACTTACAAGTCCCCACAGTACATCCCAAACTCTGTTTCAATGCCAGGACTTGACACACAATAGTTCTTGAAAGTCTGTTCTATCGCAAATTTTATGGTAAACTTGGAGTGGCAAAACACTGGTGATCCTGTGGAGAACTGAGAGACAAAAATGAGGAGACACATACAGAGCTTTGGGCACCTGATTAGCAGCCCAGCCAGGCTTGCTGGGTCTGTTCCTGCTGTTTGGAAGTAGCCATCAATATGTGGAAGTAGCCATCAATGCATGCTCAATGAAGCCCGCTTCACCTCCTCGTCTGGAGTCGTGCATAGAAGTAGATGTTCCTCCATGAAGAGCCTTACCCCTAAAATCTTGCCATTCAGTCATCCTCAGTAGGCCTTGAAATTGTTCAAAGTTGCCCTCAACCTCTGTGACAGGTCAGAAGGGAGGTTGTTTTACACCTCGATGATTTTTCAATCTTTCTTCCCATGCAGGACCAGTGGAGAACAAAAACGAAGCAGCCATGTCTGAGCTGGTCCCAGAGCCACGACAAAAACCAGTTGTACCGATGAAACCCATGGGCATCAACGCCAGCTTGCTGGGCTACATCGGTATTGACACCATCATTGAGCAGATGCGCAAGAAAACCATGAAGACAGGTTTCGACTTCAACATCATGGTTGTAGGTAGGCAGGGACCAGATGAGGAACTGGGAACCATGGCCAGGGACTGTCCTCTGAGGCCAGGTGGGAGAGCGAGCCCTGTGGGGAGGGCACGAGGGAGCAGACAGCATTTGCTCTGAGGGAAAGGAGAGCCTGCACAAGGCAAGGAGACACCTACAGCCCCTTCCCCTGCCAGCCTGGCTCCATCCCCTGGGCCTGCTGCCATCACCAGCCTGTGACAAATGTCACAAGCTTCCTCTCTGCAATCCTCAGGTCAGAGCGGACTGGGAAAATCAACGTTGGTGAACACCCTCTTCAAATCCCAGGTGAGCCGCAAATCTTCAGGCTGGAACCGTGAGGAGAAGATCCCCAAGACGGTGGAGATCAAAGCCATTGGGCATGGTAAGAGCCAGGCTGGTGTGGAAGCAACACTGATGCTTCAGTGCAGTCTTGGAGAGGGTCCCAGTAGTCTACACAAATAGTTCTTTGGTATTAAGCAGCCCTTTCTCCATGGAAAGCTAAAGGACAGTTTCAGATGGCCTCAGAGCCAGACAAGGCTTTTCTTAAACAGCAATGCCACTAATGCCAGAGCCTGAAGTGAGGGGTAGAAAAATAGTTATAGATTTTTCTTCTGCTAAGACATTAGTCTGCATGTGTCGATTAAGCCTTGCTGTAAGACATTCCCACCTGCAGACACTTAATCATCTATACAAGTTGCATTCATGGGTCCCATCCCAAGCCCAGCAGAGCACATCTCCTCATGGCAAAGCATCAGTACAGCTCCTACAGTGGTACAGGGTAACGATCATCATCTCAGATTCAGGATGATGCATTAGAGGGGAGGAGAATTTGTGTAAGTAAGGTAGGTACTACCTTTGGGCCACAAACTGAGCACAAATCTGTTTTCCTGTGTCAGAGTGTTGTAAGGTGGCTTTGGTGCAGATGTTACCAAAATTTGGGGTTAGACATGCAAGTGGGGCTCATAACTGTTGAGGCATGACCCAGCCTTGTCTGGTCAGGGACGAGGCCTGAGCCCTCTTGTTCCCTTGTAGGACACAGAATCATGTTTCATGACAAAACAGGTCTCCAGGGAGAAATATGATTGTTTGCAATTTCTCCTCCAGTCATTGAAGAAGGTGGTGTCAAAATGAAGCTTACAGTTATTGACACACCAGGATTTGGGGACCAGATCAACAATGAGAACTGGTGAGTTTTACAAGGTCAAGGCCTTGTGTCTCAGGAAGGTCTGGAATTAAAATAGTATATGAAGTGAGTCTCATCTACTGGGCCCTGGAAAGCATCTGGGATCCTACTGCACTCAGGGGGCTGGTAGTGGAGCCATGAGATTGTGAACACCATGGGTCTGTGTGCATGCTTGGGGGTATGTACCCTTTACGTGGTGAATGCTTATTTCTGTGCCCAGCTACAGAAACTCTAAACATCTCTGCTGATAGCAAGATGCTTGAGGTGGATACTTTTTATGCCTGAGCCTGCTTTGCTGCTGTCAGAGCTGGGAAGACTGTAGGCAGAAACATGAAGAGATTTGTACCTGTCTATTCATCTCTCTCTCCCACTTTAACAGCTGGGAGCCTATTGAGAAATACATCAATGAGCAATATGAAAAATTTTTGAAAGAGGAGGTGAATATTGCAAGGAAGAAACGAATTCCAGACACGCGAGTGCACTGCTGCCTCTACTTCATCTCCCCTACAGGCCACTCGTATGTACACAGTCCCTCATTCTTCCTCAAGCCCTTGGTGTCTCTGTGCCAGATATATACCCCACACTGCTCCATTTCAGACATGGATCTGGGGATCCTGTCAGCAGAGCTGGCCACTGTTTAGCTTAACTTCAGGTGCTGTGGGGCTTGAAAGGGTCTAGGATAACAAGAGCAGGAGAAATGCCACTGTGTTTTTTGGGAGAGGGCAAGATGGATGGGAAGAAGGAGATGAGAGCATGGTGGCAGCAAGCAGAGTATGTACAAGGGAGGGTTCACTGATGCCCTGATGCTGAGAGAGTCACTAGGATGAAAGGCAAGGAGGGTAAAGTGACCCCTTCCATGTTGTTCCCTCTTGGGCTGCAGCTTGCGGCCTTTGGACCTGGAGTTCATGAAACATCTCAGCAAGGTAGTGAACATCATCCCAGTTATTGCCAAGGCTGACACCATGACCTTGGAGGAAAAGACTGAATTCAAACAAAGAGTGAGTATCTCCTCTCCTGCACGGGATCCTTCCCTGCCCTGGCTTGGAGGTGGGAGAAATGAGTGGTATCTTTCCTGGGATTGCAGTGCAGTCCAGCACTGGGTGGGTGGGTAAGTCCTCAAGATGCAGCTGTTTATAGCTCTGAGGGCATCTTTAGAGAAGGAAGAAATGTGTGCATTCCTGTGACATCTTCTGATACATTCTGTTATGGGAACTGGAGAGCCAGACATGTAACTGGGGTCAGGAAGAAAGACTCATCATTGCTGATGTGTGTCCTCACTTTGCTGTGCACTTCCTTGGGGCAATCCCTCCAACCCCTGCCCACTGGAAGGATGTCCCAGATGTGTTTTCTTGGCCATCTCAACTGCCTTCCCCTCAGGTTTGTGCTGCTTTATGCTCCAAAATGTCTTTCTGCTTAGGTGCGCAAAGAACTCGAAGTAAATGGGATCGAGTTTTATCCCCAGAAAGAATTTGATGAGGACTTGGAGGATAAAACAGAGAACGACAAAATCAGGGTATGAAACATTTTATTGTGGGAGGGGAAGGGGGAATGAGTAGGGCACCACATTTTGTTCTGCACTCAGCACCATTGCCCTCACACATAGTAAATAAACTGCTTTTTAATCTCCATTCCTGTGGTAACTGCAGTCTCTTCCCAGGCCCAGGGATATCCATAAAGCTGCGTAAATCTATGAACATCCGCACAACCTTATGGATAGCAGGGTCTCCTGTACCCCGTGCTCTGGAAACAGGCAGTTTCTCCCTGTGCTTAGAGATATCTGGGTCCCCAATAGCCTCACCTAGTGTCCCACTTCCCAGTAAAGCTGCATCCCTACTCCATTTCTGGCCTTCCTTGGTACAGCCATTTCAGCCATTAAACTTGTTGAATTTTCCTGTGTCTTACTGGGGAGGATTATTTTGAGTCCTCTCCTTTTTCTCTTGTGAAGAACTACAAACTTGGTGAGAAATACTCGCCTCAAACTATCCGTATGAGCAGCCCTGGTCTGACAGACCCTCCCCTGGTAATACCAAGGTACTTCTTCTCTGGTCATCTCCCTCTTCATAAATGCTGGTGATGGATGCAGAAAAGCTCTGCCTCCTGCTCCAGAACCCTTGGCACTGCTGCAAGCTACCCCCTAGGCTTGGGGTGGTGCAAGGATACCTGGAAAGCAAGGGTCCAAAATGCTAGGGATAGCACTAACGGGTGAAGAGGACAGCCAGTAAAGTTTTGCTCGGGAGAATCTCTTGCCTTGGAGAAGGCCTTGTGTTTGTTGAGCTGAGAGGAGGAAAGGTGGATGGGGAACAGTCGTGGTGCTGCTCTATGGAATGGGTTCAATAGGTCTTTCCACGTGTCTCTCCCCAGCAGGAAAGCATGCCCTTTGCAGTAGTGGGCAGCGACAAGGAGTACCAAGTGAATGGCAAAAGAGTCCTGGGCAGGAAAACACCTTGGGGAATCATTGAAGGTAAAAAAAACCACTTGCTTCTGGGAGCTGAAAGTATGTCTGCAGGTCACAGTAATAGACAACATCCAGACAACATGTCCCATGGATACCTTCCCATCCCATTTGTGATAAACTTTTTGAAACAAAACAGGAGAAGAATTCTCAAATAGCTGTGCCAGAAGGAAACTGCCATGGCCAATGCAGTGCCACTACCACCACATGGCAGAAGCTGGAGCCGCTCTGAACACCACAGTGTGTGAAACTAAGCTCCTGAGGTTGCCTTGGTTTTCAAATATTCAGTCACAAAATTCATGTGTGACTGCCCAGTATCTCTTCATGTCTCCTCAATGCTCGACAGTGTGGTGTTCAGACAACTGTTTGTCCTTTCTGAAGTATGCAGGTTCTACCCACCTGGAACCTGCCCCATGGCAGTGACTTTCCCATGCTCTGTAACCACAAAGGGGTTGTTGAAAAAAAATCAAATGTAACGCAACTGCTTGCTTTCTTTTCAGTGGAAAACCTCTCTCACTGTGAATTTGCTCTACTTCGAGATTTTGTCATCAGGTAAGGCCATGATCATGTACTAGTTGATTAGCCATGAGTCTTCCTGAGATCCACTCAGAGTGAAATAGCCCCTATAGAAAGGAGAATCGAGTACATTTCAGGCAGTGGAAGCTTAGGTGGGGTAGGGTTGGACTGAGTTAAGGGGTAGATACTCCAGTGCCTCTCTTAGAGACATGACCACTATGTCAAGTAGGTGCTAGTTTTCATGTATGGGCTGGACACCTGGAGAAAAACAGAGTACTACCACATCACCTATATCCCATTAAGGTTGTAAAACCTTCTATTTGTTGCTGGAAAGAGGTCAGTGATCAAGAGGTCACTACCCCCTTGTAGACCACATGTCCTTCCAGGTTGAAGGATGTGCTGAAACATATAAACTGGAAGTGAAAAGCTCCATATTTCATTCAGCTTTCATTATCCTGTCTTATTTCTACTCTGTTTCATGAAGTTGCCTCAGTATAACTGATATCTGCCCCAGATTCTGTAGGAGAGCTGCAGATCCAAGGTCACCTCTATTCCCTATAAATAAAATAAGGTTTTGAAACAACACCAAAAATAAGGAAAATAAAGGAAACAAAGTTCAAATCCAGAGGCCTGTGGCTCATTCCACCTGTGGGTACGGGGGTATCAAGACACTTGGCCAGGTACAATGCTTTGACATCACCCTACTGCCCTCTTTTTGTTCTGCGATACCTTCAGCAGCAGAGATGCATTCCCCAAGTCTTCCCGTAAAAACAGCCTACCCAAAAGATCATCACAAAGCATATAGCAATCCAAGCCCACAGGCTTTCTATGAAGGTTAGAGATGATGCTCACAGCAGTGTTCTGCAGGTTATGGTCTGCAGTGGACCTCATACACCCTCCTGATGCTTTTTTGTCTCACCACTGCTTCCGATAAGTTCCTGTCTGCTCTGACACACCAGGATGGCCAGTAGCTGTCCTGGTGGCACAGGTGTGAGAGGGGCAGGGCACTGGCAAGCATAGCCAGGAAATTCAGCCTATATCCTGCATCCTGCATGTGTGCCCTTGAATGTTGATGCTCCAGCTCTCAGTTATGTATGATGGCACCCGTGCCAACCATGCAGAAAGAGGGGTATGATATTAGCAAGACTGACTGAAAAAATCTCCCATTTATCTCAGGGAATAAAATTATCATCAGAAAATTAATACTGACTGTGCTGATATTGGTTATCATACCCTGTTTCCCACCTCACTTTGTCCTCTGCAGGACCCACCTTCAGGACCTAAAAGAAGTGACCCACAACATCCACTATGAGACCTATAGGGCCAAACGGCTGAATGACAATGGAGGGCTGCCCCCCATGACTGTTGAGACAGAGGAAAACCATGAAAGTAACCTGTGAATGATCCTCCTCCCCGCTATCACCCAGTGTCTCTGGATATGACATCCCACCCCTGCTATCCTTGACTCTGCCATGGACCTGTCTCTGAAGCATGTGGCACATCCTCCGTGGGCGTGAGAGGATGCAAGTGTGAGTGTGTGCAGGCGTGCATGTGCCCACCTGTGTGCCGGAGAGGGACCAAGGGCATCTCCCCCACCCTTCCCAGAGTGTCCTCATTCTCAGTTTGTTTTTTGCACAGTGGACTGTCCGTCATCTTCCCTTCTCTCTTTTCTGTGTCTCAGCTGTGTGTCTTGCCTGGGGCAAATAGGGTTGGGGGGGAGGATTTCTGGGTGCATGGATATTGGAGGTGGGAGGTATGGGGCATGCTGTGGTCCCGTTTTTATCACTTGGAGACACGGCAAGGAGAGACTCCAGGAGAGATGGTGAAGTCAGTGCATGCAGCGCTTCCAAGAGACGTCAGCAGAGATTTCTCTTGGATCTTCCATGGGTGTAAAGGCAGCTGGTTGCTCTGAGGGCATGGTGGCCTGGCATTTTATCCCCATTTCTTGCTGTGGCTTCCCAAGGGGAAATGGCACCTTGGAAGTGGATAGGTAAGAGAAGACTGACACGTTTTATGGTTCAGAGCAAGTGATTGGTGGGAGGAGACAAATTAGTTCTTGGGCTGTAGCATCTATTTGAGAAGCATCAAAGTACTTGGGGAAAATATATGTATTTTCAAAAAGAAGCAAAACTCAGAGGAAAAGAACATGTGCCCATTGCAGAGGGTGCATTTGCCCTGCCCAGTGCTAAAGTCAAAAGCCATGCTTGTGTCACAGGCATTTGACTCTGTGCAGATCAGACCAAGCTGTCCTGGGGTCACCTCACCTCCTGGGGTCACCCCATCCCATTGCTGCAATCCCCCATTGCAGTGGTCTCTCCACCAGCAGTGAGCACACCCCAGGCAACCTTACTCTAACCTTTACCCAACATGGCCCCTCTGCTGTGAGAGTGCAGGAAAGACAGTGACACGGGGGATCCCTGCTGGGAACTCCCACAGGGACAACTCCACTCGGCACAGGGCCTTGAGGATCTTGAGAGGAGTGCGAAGAGCTATGGATTGAGAAGCACTGGGCCAGGGTGTCTCCCTGGGTCTTCACTGATGGTGGAGACGCAAGAGATACCTCTTCCTCATTGATATGGCTGCACTTGTTATTGCAGCAGTCTCAGGGCTGTTCTTCTGTCCTCCTACTGTCCCATGTCTTCCTCAACTCCTGTGCTTTTATTCTCATTCCCTTTTAGCCCTCCATAGCTTTCTTCCTTCCTTTCTTTCCCTATCTCACTTTCTCAGCTCTTTACCCTTTCTGTCCCTCCTTCATTTCTCCAAGAACTTGAATATTCCTCTTCTCCAGGCTGTTTCCTCCCTCTCCCAAGCTCTCATATCTTCTTAATAATGTGCTTTCGTGCCCTGTTGAGGAGCTGTCATTTTACCTTCCCCAGAGTAGAAAAAGGCACAGCTTTACTGAAGACTACATGCCTGTGTCTAGCTGGTGTGAGCTGTTTTCTGGATGTCCCTGAGTGAGGTGGAAAGTTGGGTCTGTCTTGGGCAGAAGGGGGGGGGCGGGCAGAAGATCAGAGATGTCCTGAGTTTGGCAGTGTCTGCCTGTCTCTGCACGTCACATGGCTGGCAGGGGTTGTCCCCTCCAGGAGACAACTTAAAATGCACGGGCAGAATGCCATGGTGTGGGATGGCAGCACCGTGAGTAAGGGGGAGTGCGGTCGGTTTGGGATGGAGGCTGGAATGCCTGACGAGGGAGGGAGGAAGGAAGAGGGAATAGCAAATGAGCAGCGGAGGGGGACTCAAGTCAAGCCCGAGGCTGCTTGACAGAGCGGTAAAGGGGCCAGGGCTGGAAACAGGGTGCTCCAAGCCTTAGCAAAGCTGTCTAAGAGCACATATCCATCTTGTGGCTTTCTCTGGTGCTGTCACTGCAAAGAAAAGGTCTCTTCACTCTCACTCTCACTTGTCCGTGCAAATCAGCCATGCTCAGCACAACTAGGATGCGGGGGCCATACCGGCTCCCGTAGTGCTTTCACCACCCACATTCACAGCTCCCGGTGTTCCTGTATGCAATGTGTGCACATAGCCATGCAGCCCCCTTCCCCCTGCACCAGGCCTCCTCAGGCCTGCAAGAAACAAGAGCCTTGTCACCAGCGCCAGCAGCCGTACCATGGACCCTGCAGAAACCATCCTGCCACGCTGCTCCCCATCCTGCCACACAACGAGCCACCCTCAGCCCAAGGCCATCAAAGACATCCTCATCAAAGACATCAGGGCTGTTTCTTCACAGCACCGAAGCATGAAGCCATGTTCTGTGTTCATCGCCCTGGGCTGCACTGTGGTAATTTCTAAGACTTTTGGGCCCAAACAAGAATTATGGCAGAGAGACAATGCCGCCCTGCTTAAAGCAAGCAAAGCAGGCTCACACAACAGAAGAGAGATATTTTCCTGTAATGTAGATTGCAAGGAGAAGGCAGTGTGTTTCACCCTGTAGGTTTAGGAATTTTTATTTGTTTGTAATAAGGTGGTTTTTATGCTCTGCTCTGTAATTTCTTGTTAGATCATGGACTACTTCTAAAGGATCCGTAAAAGCTCGCTGACAAACGCAAGCTCAGGTATTCCTCACTGCCATCTGCTCATGCCAATATCCTACTGACAACTGTGTATCTACCAGGAAGTCTACAAATGGCAAATTCAAAAAAAAATCCCACGTTGCGCGACAACGGGAGATACTGTGGGGAAGAAGTCTCTGTCGATGGATAAGCTGGGAAAAGCCTGAATCGTGCGCCACCAGCTGAGTTCCAGGATGACCACAGCAAGCCAGCTGTTCCCCCGAAATATCCCCTGAACAATATCACGGAGGGATAGAGTCGAAACCTTATACCACAGGTGCCCACTCAGCGCGTTCAGAGACTCACAAACTCTCCACCACACACGCCGTTCGCCGGAAAAACTTTGCCAAGCACACGGCAAATCCTGGACAACTTCCACTGAGGCCAAGGCGACGGCGGACAGGCGCGGTTACACTGAGCAGAGCGAGCGAGCAGAGCGAGCAGGGCTGCGCGAAGGCATCAATGCCCGCGACTCGTTACGTGCGGCCCGTCGCGGGGCGGCCGCGGCGCGCAGAGCCGGGGGCCGGCAGTGCCACCGCTCTCCCGGCGGCCATTAAACCAGCCCGGCCATTAAACCAGCCCGGCCATTAAACCAGCCCGACACCGCCTCATCCGCCTCCTCTGCCCGCCTTATTTCCGTCTCGCGCCCGCCACGCGCCCGTCGCGCCACGGGGGGCGGGGCCAGCGGGGCAGCGTTTGGGGGCGGGTCAGCCGGGAGTGACGTCACAGCCGCCCCGGGTGAGGGGCGGGGCTGGCCGGGCGAAGATGGCGCTGAACAGGAACCACTCGCAGGAGGGCGGTGTCGTCATCCCCAATGCCGAGAGGTACCGCGGGGCCGGGGGGTCCTCTTCGCCCGCTGTCCTCACAGCAGGGCCGGGCGGGGCCGGGCCGGCGGGGCCCGAGGGTGGGAGGCTCCTGCTGGCGCAGCCCCTGTCCCCTGCCTGCCCGCACAGGCCCGGCGCGGCCTGGGGTCTGCGTTGTTAAAGGGCTCCTGGCAGGGTGGGAGCGGGCTGGGGCGGGCAGTGCGGGGAGCAGGCCTGGCTGGGGTCCGCAGAGCTGCCCCGTATTCGCCGCGGGAGCTCGGTGGTCCTTAGTGCTGCTCCAGCGGGCGTCGTACGTGAAGAGTGAGCTGCCATCGCTGTAAAACTCAAGGAATTGGGGGGGTTTTTAAGGTCATGCAGTTAGTGACGTCAGAGAGGTAGAGACCACTTAAGGTAGGAGTCTCGATCCCTTGAGTTCGAAGTAAGAAACCCTTGTTCCTTCTCTGTGCGGAGGAGCGCCTCTCCATGGAAGCACAGCCAGGTGCTCGACGCCTGCCCTCGCTCCAAGTGGGGACTGGCAGACTGGCTTAACGGGCTCGGGCTTCGGCTTGGTTGTGTTCGGGTGCTCCCAGCATCCTGGCAAGACACATCTAGAAACTGGAGGCCCAGTAAAGGATCGAAGTAAAAGATCAAAGGAGTTCGTTTGGAGCCGGTGGTCAGTAGGAAAAATACACTCCAAAAGTATGCTCCAAGTAGTGTTGAGTTTGTAGCTGACTCCTAATACTTCAGTCAAGGAAGTCCTTTGACTTGTAGAGCTCATGCTGGTTTAAAGGAGATCTCTCTGTCCTTTGAATCATGGGCTGCATCAAAAGCAGTGTGGCCAGCAGGTCAAGGGAGGTGATTCTGCCCTTCTGCTCCACTCTGGTGTGACCCTGTGTGGAGTACTGCATCCATCTGTGGAGTCCCCAACATAAGAAGGACATGGAACTGTTGGAGCAAGTCCAAACGAGGCCACAAAGTTGATAAGAGGAATGGAGCACCTCCCCTGTGAAGACAGGCTGAGAAAGTCGGGGCTGTTCAGCCTGGAGAAGGTTTTGTGGAGACCTGGCAACAGCCTTTCATTATCTGAAGGGATAATGAAAGGGAAGCTGGAGAGCAACTCTTCGTTAGGAACTGTAGTGATAGGACAAGGAGTAATGAGTTCAAACTGAAAGAGGGGAAATTTAGGCTAAACACTGGGAAGAAATTGTTTTTCTGTGAGGGTGATGAGACACTGGAACAGGGAGGTTGTCGATGACCCAAGCCTGGCAGTTTTCAAAGTCAGATTGGATAAGGCCTTGAGCAACCTGGTCTAGTGGGAGCAGTCTCTGCCCATGGCAGTAGGGTTGGGACTAGGTGACCTTTAAGGTCCCTTCCAACCCTTAACATTCTGTGATTTTATGATCTCAGGCCATTCTTCAAGGTGCAGCTTAGTCACAGGTGGGGACAGTCCACAGGGTGTGCAGCCCTCCCGTGACAGCCCTGGACAGGCATGAAGGTGCAAACCAGTTCAGCAGCCTAATTACTCCCAGTGGCGGTGGCTGCATGTTATTTGCTTGTGTGAGTAGCTGTGAAGGAGTAAACATGACAATGACTACATAGAAATTCTTCCCAGTGAGGCAAACTGATGTGAAACGCTGCTAAGGGACATGGCTGAGGAAGTGTTCTGGTAGGATCAAAGCTGTCAAGAAGCTGGTTTTATTTAGCTTAGAAGAAATGTTTCCCCCTTTGCATTTTGGAAATGGGAAGAGCTCTTCTGCCTCATCAGTCTTTCCCTTCCAGCCAATCTGAGAATCTGCATCTAGCTCAATT